TGAATACCTGTGCTGTCCATCAGCAGCTGGGACCTAAGACCAGCTCAGTCTTGTTATGGGATGTCTGTGGCAATAAAAACTGGAGGGAGTTTCGGTGCAGGCAAAATGACAGCCTTGCAAAAGGACCACTGCAACTTGAACCAAAATTCATCTCTGCAATGGCATGTCCCGAGTCTCCCGGCCTGGGATTGTCATCACCCTCCTGTTAGTTACTGTGCCCAAGGACTATTTCTACAAGACAGCTTGTGCAATGTTTCTCATCATGCCTTTAGAATTCCCCCTTATTTCCATCTCTCCGAGTGTGCCTACATGTGTTTCCATTCACTGCTCCTCCAGATAGACTCGTTATCCTTGAAGAATCTATGTGTTGTGTTCGTTGACATAAATAATGATCAGGGAACAGGTCTTGAGTAGTGCTGGGAACCGCCCACCTTCAAGGGAAAACGAGCTCACAGAGCCACTGCCAGCCCTCGGTAGGCAGGCAGCCAAGAACTAGGAGGAGGTTGGGACAGAGACCTCAGAGGAGAGCCTGGAGGTCAAGATCGTCAAATGGGGCAGAGGACAAATGTCAAAAGTGGTAAAAGGCTATCAAGGACTCCTGTGACAGGAGTAGCCTGGCGACCTTGTTCAGGGCACTTCGGTAGTAGCAGGACTGTGGAGAAGACAGAGACACGGAGGAAAGGATGGTGCTTCCAGCACAGGAAGGGGAGAAGCCAAGAGCCCTCGACTAGACAGGAGGATAACTTCCTCTAGAAACAACCTTGAACCTGGTTTTATAGAAAGAGACAAGATATTGTATGACTTGGAGTCACTAGACTAGAAAGAATATTTAAACGTAAAGCTGTGAATTCTCCCACCCCACCACCCACCCCTTTTATCTTGTGTGGGCTGGCAGGGAAGAATTTTTGTGGAGACAAACTTTTAGACTTGTGGTTAATAACTGCTGGTTTTTGTACAAGCAATATCTGGATTCCTTTTGGAGTCCTGACTGAACTATAGAATCAAAGGCCCAGAGTCAGGAGAAGCTCAAAACAGATGACATGAAGATCAGAAGAAGGACCACAACTGACATACTGGGGACAACACTGTCCCTTTTAACTTCTTTCTGACGGCTGAAAGTATTGTGCGTAATGGATAGATTCCCAAGACACATCTTTGATTTCTTCCCTTTTAAAGGCGAAAACCAGATTTAAAACCATTGTTTAATTGTCTGCCTTATCTTACCCCCCCCAGAGAATTAAGATATATGGATTTTCTATGGCGCGTGTGTGTGTGTGTGTGTGTGTGTGTGTGTGTGTGTGTGTATGTATGCATGCGCGCGTGCGCGCGCACGCATGCCCGCAACTTGTGAGGAGGTCAGAGGACAACTTGCCTTGGCAGCAAGTGTCTATAGTCACTGAGCCACCTTGCCAGCCCACAGATTTAAACATCTTATTACTGGTATTATTGCTGTAGTTTAGAACACTGTGTTTAAGTTTGTGGCCTTAGGCTGTAATTATAACATCCTCAGGGGAGATCACCAGGTGTCCTGTAATTATGATGATATCTGGTCTTTTCAGGGCAAGGCAATTTGTGTCTGAGCGTAAACATTAATATAGCATCTGTTTCACAGGGAGGTTGAAGAATGTCCAGAACTGCTTGTTAAATAATTCTAACTTCAGACATAAAGATGGTATTCAGAGAAAAGACCTATATAACCCCAGAAAACAAAAACACCATCACCCAAATCAAATATAAAGAGGGGAAACAAAACCATAAGAAATAAGGAAAGAAAGCTGTGAGGGGAGAATGACAAACGTCACTTCCTTAGGTTGATCTCACATGAGGAATTCACTGTCTATGGGGAAAGCTGGACTCTTGCATTCTAAAATCTCCCCCTTGCATTCACTAAAAACAAACACACACCCTGCCCAATCGTGGCTCGCCAGAATAAAAGATTGCCCTGTGTATGTATACATCTATACAATACATGCCTGTGTATATAATGTTGATGAGAACAGCTCCCAGTTTTGCCCGGTTTGCTACCATGTTGCTTTCTTTTGGGGCCCAGGACCTTGCTGATGTGAGCCAAGCACTCTCAAAGGCTGGACCCTGCTAGTTTAACTAGCCATCTTAGCAAAAGGACCCAGCCTGAAAAGAATTACTTTACTCCCAAACACTTTCCCTTTCCCTTTGGGAAGGCCCAAAGCAGTTTGTGAAGTGTCTGTAAAGATCTGTGTGTGGAGGTCAGGGTTTGCAAGCATGGCATGAAGCGTGGTTTTGTCGGTATGGGGTGGTTCAGTGCACTTCCAATGCCAGTTATGTACTGGATAGAGGGAAGTCCAGAGAGAGGAGATCGGTGTTAGTTCTCACTTGTATATATGAGAGTGACTCATCAGGGGATTGAGGGCTATGCAAAGAGCCGAGCTATTTCCTGATGATTTTCCTACAAGGTCTGGTGCATGTCATCTACATCTCTTATCACTTTTAAAATCAAGTGATCACTGAGCATTAAGCGCCAAGTGTGTGTTGGGGGCAGGGCATTGTATGCGCCCCGCCGAGAAAGAATTGACTTCAGAATTCTTTAAGAAAGAACTCAGTGAAATTTCACGATTTCTTTGGAGCCTTTCCCGAATGACTGACTCCATTGTCCAAGGCTCCAGAGCAGGGCTCGGGGAATTCCCCACTGTTCACCATACTTTAGGATCATCACAACAGTTTCCAAAATAATTCATATTGTGGGTTCTCAGCGCCAGGCCCCAGGGCAGACAGGCTGTAGAGTTTCTCCTTCTACACTAACATATCAGTGGTTTCTGTTTTGATTGAAATTGAGAACCAACTATGTGGCAAGAGACAAGCTCATCCTTGGGGAGGCAGGAGAGTCTCACCGTTGATGGTGGTTTTCCTCTCACTTCCTCCTTGCAGACAGCTTGATTTGGTGTTAGACACTCACCACTTAGCTATGGCTTCGGTGTTTAAGATGGTCAGAAATGCCCTATGAGGCAGCCACGGGTGGATGGTGTTTAGAATGGCCGTTGTCTTCAGGGGCTCATCATGGTGATTCATTTCCTTGATAGGTTTGCAGGAAACTCACCTAATACTCAGCCCGCCTTTTCTTTCTCCATAGATCAGTTTTGACTCTCTTCTGAAAGGAGTTCGAGGCCTACCTTCGCCTCCCTATGGTGGGACACTGTTGCAGAATATTTGTTTAACCAAAGATGTGCTACTTTTGTTTATGCTGCATTAGTCTAAGGATGTGAGGCTGTGTGTTTAATTATGTAAAGATGCGCTGTATCCGGTTCACCTCGCCAGCCTAAGGCACCTGATTGGTCTAATAAAGAGCTGAACGGCCAATAGCTAGGCAGAAGAGGGGAGGCTGCCTGTCAGAGCAAATAAATCGGAGGAAGAACCTAGGCTCGAGAGAAGGGGGAACAAGAAAAGAAGGAGAGAAGGGGGAGGAGAGAATGAGGGACATGCCTGGGACAAGAAGCCAGACAGCCCCCAGCCAAAGAGAAGCCGTGAAAGTAAGAGCTACAGACAATACAGAAAGAAAGATTCAGAAGAAAGAAAGGTAGCAAGGCCCAATGCACAGGGTAGATAAAGAGAAACCGGTTAATTTAAAACAGTCAGAAACGAGCCTAAGCTAGGTCGAGGGATCAAACCTAACAATAAGTCTCTGTGCATGATTTGGATGCTGGTACAGGGCATACTCTCTAAGGTCCTTGCTTAGTGATTTTTCAGGGCCCAATGGTGTCCTCCCAATGAACCTCAGGCACAGAATCCTGGGAAAATCCCCTCTTGCTGGAAAATCCCACCTGGAAGAAACAAAGGCATCTAAGAACCTACCGTGGAGAGTCCCACCTAGAATCCCCCACCCCCAACACACACACAGCAGAATATGCTCCAAGGACGCTGACATGATAATTTCTTTTCTTCTGAGAGCCTCTGGGAGCTGTCACTAGCTTTTTAAAACAATCGTAAATGATGGTTACTTCTCTCTGAATGTCTTTCTGGTTTCCTTCAGTTGCCCGAACAGAAATGAGTTGTTATGTACAACAGGGATAAGTTCGTGTCTCCCTGTAATTTTACACACACACACACACACACACACACACACACACACACACACACACACTTTTCTGTTTATAATTCCGCATCCCACCTCTTCGCCCTCAGCCTTATAATAAGCTCATTCATTCGTAATTCTACTTGGTGGCATGATGTTTTTCAAGTAAGCTAGTCAATGCGGCTGCCTTCCTGGGTAGAAAATAAAGAGGTTGTTTAGCAAGAGCCCTGGGAGGAAAGCTAGCTAGGCTGGGAACACAACAGTAGGCTTTAAGTCCAGCTAACCCTGAAATGCTCTGGGTCTTGATGGCTCTAGCCTCTGGGCCCTCTGGGCTGTTCGAGCCTCGGATGCCCAGCTTAGGGTGAAAGAGGCAGGCGCTTCATAAGAAAACGAAAAACCGGTCTGGAAATGATTTCTCAAGCGCAGCGATTGCCTGATTGCACAAACATCGCCTCATCAATTTTCTTACCAGACCAACAGAGAAACTGGCATTGGCGGTGGTCATGGCGTGAATAGGAATGTGTGTTTGGAACCGCCGGCTGGGGCGGGCCCAAGGAGAGAGGAGGAGACACGCCCTGCCATCCTGGGAGACCCACGGGCGAGAGGACCCCGCAGCGCGGTCATTTCCCACGACCTTTCCCCAGTGGGAAAGAACTGACCCAGACTGAGGGAGTCCACAGACTTCGTGCGCCCTAGGACTGAAAAAAAAAAAAAAAAAGGCACAGTTCGAATCTGCAAGGCAAAAGACACCGCTGTAGAGGGCCGCCTCTCCCCTGCCACCCAGACGATCCACGCCAATCTCCTCTCCGGACTACACCGCCCAACGCCGGCCTGTCCCCCGGGCACAGCTTGTCCACCTCGGACGACTCTCAAGCCGGGGGCGGTCTCTGGGGCTAGATCACCAGGGTCCTTTGGAGGCGTCTTTAAGGCTGCGGTCCCCGCCCTCCTCGCCCGCCCTCCCCCTCCTCCCTCCGCGGCGAGGATCCAGTGGCCAGGCTCGCAGAGCAGGTGCGGGCCCTCGTATGAGGCTGCCGGGGCCGCGGTGGTAGCGGCGCGGGGCGCTCGCCCGCCCCTTCTCCGGGCCACTCTCGGGCTCCGGCACTCGGGGACATGTCGGTGGTGACTGGCGGCGGCGAGGCGGCCGGCGGGGCCGGCGGCAGCGGCGCGCGCGTCTTCTTCCAGAGTCCCCGTGGTGGCACGGGCGGCAGCCCGGGATCCAGCAGCGGCTCGGGCTCCTCCAGGGAGGACTCGGCTCCGGTGACCACGGTAGCCGCCGCTGGGCAGGTGCAGCAGCAGCAGCGACGCCACCAGCAGGGAAAAGTGACAGTGAAATACGACCGCAAGGAGCTTCGGAAACGGTTGGTGCTGGAGGAATGGATCGTGGAGCAGCTGGGTCAGCTGTATGGCTGCGAGGTACTTGGGCACTGGCGGGGAGGCTCGGGATCTTTTTTGCCCCTCTGTGACCACCCGGGAATTTTCCGTGGCTCCCGGGTGTGCGCTGTGCTGCCCCAGCTCTTGGGGACCAAACCCCAGAGCGTGTCTGGGCGCGATCTTTCTCCCCTGGGTGCCCTCTGGCTCTGGGGCGCAGCGCTTGGGACGCCTCTACTTGGGTTCAGCTGCCTGGTACCCGGAGAGCTGCTGGCTCCCTTGATGGCGTGGGAAGAGAGTTGGGTCTCAGTGCTCTGGATTCTCCGAGCTTGTCTGCACAGCCCTAATTATACCCAGTGGGACTCGGAGCGGCTCTCCTGGCCTGCCTGCACCCTGGCAGAGGCTGGGAAAGGGAGAGCACTTAGTGAGTGAGTGTTCTGATCAGGGTAGCCTGGATTTCTGTGGCGATGAAGAGGAAAGATGCTCACAGAGAAGAGGGGGTCTGGGGAATCTCAGAGTTCCCCCCCCCCGCACCCACACGCATGGTTCCTTAAATTGTGTGTCACAACCGTGAGACCAACGCTCCCTCTTTTTCAGCCACATCTCTTTCCCCAAGCTCGGTTGCAGCTGCTTTGCCTTCCCAGGTACCTCCACCTATGGGCGCCCAAGGAAAAGCCCCCATGAGTTGCCTAGGCAGGTGGTATGTGCAGGATGCTCTCTCTCTCTCTCTCTCTCTCTCTCTCTCTCTCTCTCTCTCTCTCGTGTGTGTGTGTGTGTGTGTGTGTGTGTGTGTGTAAGAAAAATGACCAAGGCCAAGTGATTTCCCGAGAGTCTTTAGCAACACGGATTCTCAATTAAGTGTTCTACTTCAGTTAGCCAAGTGGAGTTTGGGAGGAGATTAATAATTGAGAGAGTCAACTGGTAGGCTTTTTATCAAAATGCAAGCCAGATGACCTCACTGGCTTTACCAATCCACGGGGGCCATCCTGTTTTCACGTATTTTATGGCCTGTTGTGAACACATATTTTCTTTAGCATTTATATTGCGCAAGGCAACAGCAGTTTCCATGCGGGCTTCCGACGAATGATTGAGATACAATGAAGATTGACTGTATAAGCAATAAGCTTGTAAAAAATGTATTTTCTTTCCAGTCTAGTCACAAAAAGCTCGTTTAGTTGCTTAAGTAAGAATTGGAAAAACTGGACATGATCATGGGCTTTTAAAATAGGAAGTTGGTGAAACTCTTTAAAGACACAATGTATTTGATTGAGATGGAATTCCTGTTGGATGAATGGCTGTGTTCACTCTCGCCTCTTTGGAATCCAATTAATTTGCTTTTGCTTTCTGTTGGCTTTCCTACTCCATTTTGGGCTTGGAGAAGACTTGAGTTTCTAGAGGAACTATTGGGAAATTAGTAATGCTTCATTAGACCTTGGGAAACCAGGAAGACTTCTACCTGCTTAGCCTGACAAATGATATATTCTGCATATTCTTTCAAGTAATTGGTGGTGGGTGGAATTTTGAATGTTCTGCATTGAACATGTAGTTTAGGCCCCTATTTCAAAGGGTAAAAAATGACCTTGAATGTTTTCCTTGTATCTCGTTCTTTGGAGCATCTAGGCGTTGGACCATAACAAACAACTGGAATGTTTGTGAAATCATATAAGACATTCTGCATGCATTTCAGGGTGTCAGTGTTCCCTTCAAGAGGCTCGAGGGTTGGAAGTTGATCAGGGAGTGTTAGCATTAGTGGGTACTGTAATGATGGTAACCCTGCTAACTAATAAAGAAACACGTGGAGTACTACACAGCCATGGATGGCCTTTCCCCGTCTATTTCTCCACTGAAGAGGCTTGGGCTTCTCTCTTCTGACAGAGTTTTCTTGTTTACCAATTCAAGTATCTCAGCCTTGGGTCATGAATGAGAAGGACCCACCCTGACTTGTAGTTTTGAACCTCATGAATTTGAAGGCTAGGAGGAGTATTGTTTTAATATTTAGAATTGGAAATTGGCCATATCTTTCAAATGTTTCCATGCACAGCAAGCCAACTGGCTAGACTTCGAGCTTCATACCAGGGAGAGGCCTGTATTATCTGCTGAGTTGGGTAGTGAAGGACTCTTTGAAATTTTAGAAGGACTTGTACCAGCCAGATCAGCAGTTAGATGAGTTGTCCTTTTTGAGGGATGGGAAATAATTTTCTTTTGCAGGGGCCGAAACATTTAAAGTTAGAAAGGAATGGGGAAGAAACACACAGGCCTGACTGAGGTTTTTGCATAGAAATTTGCAGGATCCGGTCAACTTTGTTTGGAGAATAATGCAGCGGACATTTGGAGAGCCCTTGTCCAGTCCTAGGTGCTGTTTTAGCCACTTGGCTCGCACCAGCTCATTTCCCGTTCACAGCACTCCTGAGACGAGAGGGCTCTCGCTGCTGCCATTGCTTTTACAAATAAGGAAACAAACTCAGGGAAAGCTAAGAGGCTTGACCAAGGTCACACAGATGGGAGTGGCTTGGAGGAGAGGGCATGAACTTGGGCAGTGCTACTCTAAGACCACTATGTAACCACCGGGGCCACCTGTGTCTCTGTACAGAACAAAGGACTCACATAGGTTATATCTCAATATTGGAAACTCTATGTATTAAGATAATAATTCTGACTTTCATTAAGTTAAAAAGCAATGGTATGACCTTGGGATACTAATAATCACAGGTCAGTCAGTCAACTCAAAAAAATGAGGTCTTGGAAGTTGAGGAGTTTGGTGCACTTGCTCAGCAAGAACAAAGAGATGATTTCAGATCCCAGCACCCAGGTGAAAAGCAGGGCGTGGCTCCACATGCCTGAAACACTAGCATTGAAGGGGCCAATAAATCAGAAGACCACTTTTAAAGAGCAGAAGGACCTTAAATGCGATGAACAAGCCAGCACTGGAGAATGTTCATGGCTAGGGTACTCTGCCATCCCAATGATTTGTGCTTAGCAACAGATTTTAATTTTCCAAAGCAAATCGAATTGCAAAACTGGAAATGCAGATGTTATCTTGAGGCTGGGCAAGATTGGAAGAAAACGACATGATTTAGCCAGTAAACTGTCTTGCAACACTTGTCATGGTAGACGGTATGCCAGATTTCAGATGCTTTTAAGAAACAGTTGGGAAGACAACGGGGATGCCTTAAAACAGAATTCCTTACATATGGATGCAGCTTTTACCTAACAGTTCTGTTACAATCAGATGCCCAGCTCAAAACTTCACTGTGTAAGCTTTCCCACAAGATAAAAAGAAGAGCTATAAATGCATAGCCAACCACTGCAGGATTTAATGGTCATTTGTATCTATGAACACAAAAGACTCGGGCTCCACTCCTGAAACGCCACCTTCCTGAGCCTTTCTGGAACCAAATGGGCCTCCAGATCGTTTTAGCTTGTGCTCCATGTGACCACAATCCCTTCATCAATTGTCAAGATGCTTCCAGAGCAAGGACAAGCTCCTTCTAGATGGGCATGAGCCAGAGGCCTGGGCATAGGAAGAGAAGAGGATGTGTACAAAGTCTGATGAGATGGGCTCAGTGGGAAAAGGCACTCACCATCAAGTCTGAGCCCCCCCCCCCCAGGCCCACATGGTTAAAAAAAAACACACGATCAGATTCCCTCCACCAGCTAGGACTGTGCCAAGGGTGGGTACCAAAAGAACCCTGGGCCTGGAGAATATTCTCCCAAGTCCATTCCAGTTCAGAGCTCTGGAGTGTATGAGAACTCCAAACTCACACCTAGCCTTGCGTTCATTATAAGGATGCAGTTATCAAAGCAGATGGGTGCAGCACATTTATAGTTACTATTGATGTCTCTGTGCGGGAGGGGGTGGGTGGGTGGGAGGGGAGAGAGACAGGCAGACAGATGTACATGTGCCATGGCCCCCAGTTGCCATTGTACAACTGGCAGGACTCAGTTTTCTTCTTTCACCGTGGATTCTGAAAATCGAACTCGGGGAAATCAGGCTTGCACCACAAGCACTTTTACCCAATGAACCATCCTGCTGGCCCCCATCCTATTTTTTTTTTTAATTAAAGAAAAGAATCATTACGATCACACAGACATGTCAATTGTACAGATTAGCTTGATCCACTGTGATTTTTCCGTACTTGTGTAGATCTTGTTGTGTGGCCCCGTGTGGCCTGCAGGGCACAGCTCTTGCAGTGTGTTTGCTCCTACGTTCAGATGAGCATTCTAGCATCATTCTAGCATCAGTCCTCGTTTGGGGCAAACATCTTTCCTCACCAGCATCGCATTAGCCTGCCTTGGTGCGTCGTTGACATCTCAGCCGGAAGACAAGCATTGCTTAGAATCAGCTTGTGGGCACCTGCTGAATCCTCATTTTCCGGGTATTTAGGAACAGTCTTTACGGCTTTATTATTTTTCTAATCACCATAAATGCAACCTACAGAGAGTACTAAGGTATAGAGATTGATGCGACCTTCACTGGTGGCAAAGAGATAGCCAAGGGAAGCAGAAAGGCAGTTCAGTCTAACACAACTTAGTAGCTGGTGCTGGTTCAAACTCTGAGAGTCTGACCCCAGGTGGTTTATTTTAGGCATATTTAAGCACAGATCAATTTAGCGAAAACTGTTCTGGTGATGATTAACTCAATCTTGCATGCGCAACAAAACATGCATACATACATCTCCTCTAGGGGCAAAGTAAGCTAAATACAGATCAGACATGGCAACATTGAAATTCTTTGTAAAGTCCA